GCCCTCCCGCCTCGACCAATCAGCGGCCGCCGCTGCCGGTGGGGGGGCGGGATCGAGGAACGAGTTTCGCGGAGGCGCTTGCGATAGGAAGGCCGAACTTGGAGTGGCAGTCTAGCTGGCCAATCGGGACAAGAGATGCGGATCCTGGCGAGTGGGGCTTGGCGCGGGGAAGGCTTGAAGGCGTTAGGAGACAAGTTACGGTCTGAGCTGGTGTGCGTACCCGGGGGAGACCTAGGTGGGTTTGGGAAGTCCTTTGTCTGGTCTGCTGCAGCTTGCAAGTCTTAAAACTACAAGTTTGACGCAGAACCGTCCTGGGGACCTTTCTAAAGGACGACGGGAGGGGTGGCTTTCAAAGCTCCCGAGCTTCTCCGGGTCCCTTTGAAATGGATCCCGTGAGACCGGAATGCTAATCGCGCTGACAGTGCCAGCCGGTGTATGCCTCTCCACGCCGGCAGCCGTCTAGGGCCTGCTCATCCCTTCCCATGCGATGTCAGCCACGGTGTGGCGTGTTTGACGGACGGGAAACCCACGCACAGAACGCTAGGCGTTGGAAGGGGCTGCAGCGGCTCCGGTTTTGTGCCGCAGAGTGCATATGGAAGCCCCGTGGTGTGCCCTGTCCCGAAAGGTGCCCGCCAGGGGAGAGCGGTGCCCAGGCTCTGACCCTCATACTGCCTTGGAAGCTTAAGCCTCGTTCAATAGACTTGCTTGGCTCTGCTGCTTTTAAGATGTTTTTTAACCTCAAAAACAGCTTAGACCTGCCGGGAGCGTAAGATATGTTTTATACTGTTTGCTAGACCTTTTTATATCATGGATGTCTTGTCCTTTACATAACGAATTAATTCTACAGAGTTTAGAAAGGTTTTTAAGCATTGTTGTAGGAACCTTTTCAGAGCCAGTAGGTGGCGATATTTCACTGTGGGACGTGAAAGAGTTCTTGGTAGCCTGCCGGCTTTAAGAGGAGCTGTGATTCAAATGAAGGATTAAGTGAAATGACTAGAAAGAAGCCAGAAGCAGGAAATAGCCCTTGCTGAAGGAGAAAACAGAAGATCCGCCACAGTTCAGAGGGAATAATGCTGACTGTGGGCATTAAAGAGTAGAAGGGGGTCTGCAGAAATAGATCAGCAATTAGGATTCGTTGCCATTCTTCCAGAATACCCACACTCTGTTCCTCTCACAACTGTAAGTCCAGTTAATTGTGGCTGTAGCTCCAGTTCCAGGGGATCTAGTACTCCTGGCCTCTGAGCACATACCCACATGCAGACAAACACCTATTCATCATTTTTTAAACAGGAAAATTTTTTTAAATGGAAGGAATATGCAAAATAGTGGTTAGAATAGGTTGGACATATGTAAGTATATTTTTCCCAAATAAAATGCAAGTTTTGGAATATTTAGAAATTAGTTTCATAGATGCCCTATATACAGATTCCCCAAAAGGTAAGGAAAACAATGGGAAGTCCTTATAAAAGTTTGCTCTCCAGCTCCCTGGTAGAAATACAGGTGAGTTTTCCATAGAAAGGTCAGTGTGTTGAGAGACTCCTCCATTCATAGCTGGCAGTCATGACACAGATCCAAACCCATGGCAACTACTTCTGTGTTTCTAGAGCTCTTATCACAGTGTGGGACTCTGGCACAGGAAACAGCTCTGTTTTGATCTGCTTACGCTTCAGTCAAGATGGTACCCTTTCAAAAGTTTATGTTTTCTTTTTGATTTTCATGATGATGATGCAGTCATGTTCCCAGCCCACTGGACCACTCTCCCTTGGTGGTGTGATACCTTCTGCAGCAGAATGACTGAATGACCAGAGGTTCCCGTCACTTTGAAACCCTCAGCCATTTTCAAGATGTCTCCAAGGCACAGTAGGTGCTTCAACAATGCCTTTTCTAGCGACGGGAATGGGCCATCTTGTGTTCTATTTATGTTGTCCTGTGACTGACAATCACAGAAATCGGGGTCTTGATATGTGTGTGGCTCAATGTCCACGATAAGTGCCACACCCACTGCCAAGGCCTCAGTCACCATCAGTACAAACTGAAAGAGTTCTGATGAGGACGGAATTTGTGGTTTGCACTCGGTATTAGTTAATACCAGGATCGTGCTGCAGAGGTGTCTCACTGTGAGGGGCAGGGAGCAGAGACAGAGGGGAAGGGTTTGGACCCAATACAATCTTCAGAGGCCAGCTCCAGTTATCTGCTTTCTTCATCTAGCTCAGCCTCCAACAATAGCAATGCCGGGATCAGGCAAGCACCGGATAGATGAGCCTGTTGCATGCATTTCATTCGCACTCAAACCATGACAAGCCTCTTTCAATTATTATCAGAAAAAAAAACCCTGATGTGCAGTTATAAGAAGGAAGTATAGACCTAAAACCACTGCTCACAATATGGGAGGTAGCGTCATCTACAGTCTCTAGGTTAACTTATTAAGCATATCTCTATGCCAAGTCCACTGGCCAGCACACCATCACATCTCTGGCACTTAGAAATACCCACTTATGCTCAGAAAAATGCAGACTGAAATCATTTTCCCATGGTACCAGCCAATCAGGAGCCTGACACAAAGCAGGCTCCTCCTACTTTATCAGAGAGCATTGACCCAGGGAAGACCAAACAAAAGAACCAGGAAATATGAAAATTTATTTTAGCAAAGTGTAAATAAATGGTCATGAAACACAAAAGATTAGTGAGTTGAACAAATAATTAATTTGATTAATACCCAAATTCCTTGTGTAGCTCAGTGGTCACGACTGCGCTCAGTGTGTCATCACCGTGGAATGCTGCTCTGTCTGTTGTCGAGGAGCGTTTCTCTGCACATAGTAACCTGAGAGCGGTTATTGTCCTTCCACGTTGGCAAACACCAGTCCGTGCTTCTGTTGCTGAGAAATGTGCTGTTATTCTGATGAGGTGTCTCTGTATTTGACTTGGTCCTTTTCTCTTGTAGCTTTCAGTAGTTTTTGCTGCCTATTTGTCTTAGCTGTTTTAAATATAAAATGATTTGGGCTTTCTTTTTTGGGCTTATCTGTTTGGTATTTTAATGCCTCCTTTGATGAATGTCTCTTACCGTAGATCAGGAAATTGTTGCCAATTTTTGTTGTTGTTATTGTTTTGTTTTGTTTTTTCTTTTGCTTTTGTTTTGAGACAAGGTCTCTCTATGTAGCTCTGGCTGGTCTCAAATTCACAATGTGGACCATCACACCAGTGTTGAACTCATCTACCTCTTCCTCGTGAATGCTGTGACTAAAGACGTGCACTCTACCCCGCTTTGGCTGTGATTTTGCCAAGTGTATTTTCTTGGTCTGTAGTTTGTATGACTCTTCCTTCTGTCCCCATTATTTGTAAGCTTTGTCTTGAAGGTCTTGCTTATAATCTTTATTAATTCATCTCTTTTATCTGGCTATTGCTAATTTATCCATCCTGTCTTAAATCCCCGATAGTGTAGCTTCTGCTTGATCTGTTAGTGAGGTTTTTTGATGTTTTTATCAACTTACTGAACTTTTCATTTCCAAAATTTCAGTTCAGAAATTAATGTTTTTTTTATTTTGTTGGACTATTATTTATTTTCAGTTCTTCCTCTGAAATTTCATGTATGTCACCCTCACTGGAAAATTTACTGTGAAGTCCGTCATTGTTGAGTGACTTCATTTTTCACGTATTGTTTATCTTCATTGGGACTTGGGTGTCTGGCATTAGGTAATTTTTAATTGCTGTGTGTTAATTACGTTTCTCATTTTGTGACAAAATACCTCCAAATAGCAGTTATTTAAGAAAGGAAGGGTTTATTTACCTTACAGATAGCAAGGCTACAGCCCCTCGTGGCAAAGACGGTGTGGCAGCAGGAGCCACCAGACGTGGCTGTTCACAGTGTGTCCACAGTCCAGAACCAGAGTGGCGAGTGCTTGTGCCCAGCTCACTTTCTCTGCTTATCCTATCCTGAAACATAGCCACATGTAGAGGAGGCCTTTCCATCTCCCTTAGCCTAATCTAGATAATGTCTTACAACTTGTCCACATAGTTGTTTCCATGGTGATTCCAAGTCTTCTCGAGTTGATACTCAAGATAAACCACCACATGCCATGTTCTTTCATTTTCAGTATTGGAGTGGAGTTAAGCTGTAGTCTGACGGAAGTGTAGTTTCATATGCTGCTCTGGGGGTATCTCGCTAGACACAGTCCTCTGCCCCTTCCCAAGCACAGACTACCACCTGTAGGAGCAACCACAACTGAAATATAAACCTTCTAAGAAAGGACTTTGTAGGGGAAGAGAAACAAATGCAATAGGACCGTCTTCTCAAAGGTCTCAGGTAGAGGATGGGATTAAGTCAGTGGTTGAGAGCCTTCCTGGAAGTCCTGCATCTGTCCTCGGGTGTGTGCGCACAATTTCACAGTGGGTAGTCAGACGCTAGCACTTAGACAGACGTGACTGCCTTCTACAGGGACGTGTCTACAGTAGACACTGTTGAGGTCTGGTGAAGCATCACTCAACAGTACCTGACCGTAACATCCTGAGGTGCTGTAAATTTTTATCCCCTATTTTAAAGCTACACTTTTTTTATTTTCTCCCCATCTTGTCTTGTGCCTCGCATTCCTTTGCTTTCAGATATAGTTATTATGAAGTTTTTGGGCTTCATAAATTTCAGAATATTTGTGTGAAATGTGAAAAGAATCTGTTACTGAGTTCTGTGTGGAATTGCTAGAGGCAAAGTGGAGAGATGGACGGTGAGCGGCATCAGGGCGAGTCTGGAGCACAGACAGTCAGTGTTGAGTGAACGCGTAGCAACTGCTCCTCCCTTTTTGGTTTCCACCCAGCAGTGAGACAGCTGGTCACCGTAGGTGTCTAGGCCAGGATAAACACTGCAGAGTTCTAGTCCTTTTGCCTGAGCAGATCCCTAGAGCAGCTGCAGGCTGAACCACACTTACCAACCTGGCTGGAACTGTTGATCGCATGAATTTTGCAGTTTGACTTACTGTGTGACTCAACACAAAGTCAGGAACACAAACACGTTCTTCTTCAAAGAAGATGTGATCCAATCAGGCACCAGCTAAGGGTGCTTTCAAAATTTACATGGCTTGGGTCACAGTAGAACAAGTGAGTTAAAGGATTGACCTGTCCAGTTTGGAAACATAGTAGCCACTTGAATTTCTTTAGTCTTCCATTGTGTTTTCCAAGAATCTTTTATGTTGTTGAGGGCTGCTCCGTTCATTTCCTGGCCGCCCAGACTCCCGAAATAACCACACAGAAAACTGTATTAATTAAAACAATGCTTGGCAATCACTTAAGCGTATTGCTAGCTAGCTCTTATATCTTAAATTAACCCATTTCTATTATTTTATATTTTACTACAAGATTCGTGGTTTACCGGCAAAGGTTCCTGCTGGTGGCTTGCATCTTTCTCCTCCAGGGGCTACATGGCTTCTCACTGACTCCTCCTTCTTTCTCTCTACATCTGTTTGGATTTTACATCTGAATTTACTCTGGTCACGCATTGGCTGCTTTATTAACTAATGGTATTCACAGCATACATCACCTCCCACATTGTGGAGGCCCGGGAAATGTGAGCCTGTTTCCACACTGACCAAAGGTCAGAGAGTTGGAACTTAACGACTATTCCTTCAAGGTTATTGTGTTTCTACCTCAAACAAAAGTCTAAGGATTCAACTAAGTTCCAGTTCCTGTTATGGAGATAACTTGGGTTTCTACCAGGGAGTGGTTTGCCTATAGACTGTTTTAGTCTAGGGTGTAAGCATGACTTGTTTTGTTCTAGCTACAGAATGTTACAACTATGGATGTAGCCTGTGACCCTCAGTTGGTATGTTCATTTCCTAGTATCATATTAATGTACCTTTTGTCTTACTCCACTTTTGGGGGTCAGGGGTATTTAAAGCAATTGGAAATTAAACTCAGGCTAATTTTCAGTACTCACTGGAATTTCCTCCCAATACTATCCTATATGTTTGTCCATTTTATTATTTTCATTCACGTCTTCATATTCTTTACTATATTTCTAAATCCCCATGCCTCTACCCAGGCAAGAGGTATTTTTGTCAAGGCTGGTCCTCGACATGACATCACCTCCCCTTTTCTGTCTAAATAAAAAGGAAGGTTTTAACTTTAACATTGTAAAATTACATATAACAAAATAGGTTTGAGGAATAACTATTCATCTTAAATACATCTCTGTATATTTAGAAGACCTAACTAACATGACTACAAGTTTGACTGTTAGAGATGACTATTAACCTGTATTTCTTAATTATACAGTACACTCTAAAATGAGCTGCACAAACAAAATACCTTAATCAAGAGCAGAAATCTTAAATTTGTATCAATAAATCAAAATACATACCAATGCCAAGTACTGATCTCTATATCATATCCCCCTTTAAATGTAAATGAATATTATAAACAATATTTAGGAATTTGGACATTGTTCTCTCCAAACTTCTTCCTGCTTTCATTTGGGTGAAATAATTTTGGGGGGTGTTCACGATGACCTTTCAGGGGCTCTTGCTACATCAAACCACATTAGCCTGGAAGGATTCCACAGGTTCTAATCCTCTGTGAAAACAAAGAAGACCCTCTTTTTCAAAGCAAGAAATCCTTAGACCCAAATTTTGAAGTCAAGATACCTTTAAAATATATATGTTGATTTAGCTTAGTAGCCCATACAATGAAATGTTTCTCTGTACTTAGCTCTTTCACAGTTAAAAAATTCAAAGAAAATGCAACAGTATACATAATCCAGACTCTCTGTGTATTTTCCTTTACGTGGCTTATTTTTCTTTACTCCTTTTACCTATGACCATTTGTACTCTTATCTCTTTAAAGACTTTGTTTTTTTATGACTATTTACTTCTTTTTAT